AGGCGGTGGGAAAGGCAAGGTATGCGGGAGGCCGCCTCCACACGCTCGGCAGCGGTAGAAATAGAGAACGAGAAGGAAGGACTTGCCAAAACCCGAGCCATTAAAGTCACGGAAATTCATTGAAACTCCTTTTCCAACACTTAACTACCTCTCTCAAGCAAAACAAACGGTTAAAACCCTTCCCGTGCACTCCGTCGATCTGATACACGGAAAACAAACAAGAAAAAAAAAATAATAAAATAAAAGAGATCCTTTGAAACGGAACTTGCTCGTAAAGTGATGAGGACAACACGCGCGGCTGGGGAGGCTTCCCTTTTTTTGTTTTTTTGTTTTTTTCCTTAAATCCCAGGCTAAGAGTACAACAAACATTATTGCTGGCGCTAGCTTCAACCCAAGTGGCGCGCACACGACTCCCTGCACCCGTCCGAGTCCTTTATCACCCCCTCCCCTCGTCCCCTTTCCTTTGACAGCGACTTGGGGACAAAGCCCTTCTCGGTTTGCCGGTCACAGTGGGTGGAGAGGGGAGGTCACAGTGCGTGGGGTTGAAGGTCACAGTGGGCAGAGCAAAGGGGATCACAGTGCAAATAAACCAGGTAGTTCCCTTTGCTCAAGTCCGTTCGCCCGCCACGGCAGTGCGACCCGTGGCGGCGGACCCTGCCTTCCGCAGCAGCGTCTCTCGCCCGCGTTTATCTGCGCTGTTTGAAGCCTTGCGAGCCATCGGGACCCAGGGGTTGCCTAATCACATTACTGGGCTGCCTGGTGTCTTCCGGCTGGGAGATCCTCGGCGGCCTGCAAGGAGAAAGGGAGATCAGAGGGGGAGGCGACAGGGCTGCGGGAACGCGGGACGCCTCCAACAGAGACTCCCCCACCCGCCCCCGCGGGACAATCGTCACCGCGTTGCTCCCCGGGATGGGGAACGCCACCGAAATCGAACTTTCTCTCCAAAGGTTCGGGAGTCTTACTCTCGAGTAGTTAAGACCCACGTTGCAACTGCAGAGGGAGCACGGTGCCCTCAAATAATCCGCATTCGTTTTTAAGCTCGACTCTCCCGCCTGCACGTGGCGGCTTCCCTGAAGTCAAAAACCCCAGCAAAGATGAGGATACGCCCTGCCAGGATAACTCTGGCTGCCCGCGCTCCTTTCTACATCCACATCACACCCTTCCAAGGGTCCAGGATAACCTTTACGGCCTTATCAGGCACTTGCACCTCCCTTAACTCCCGCGTATTTGAGCTTTATGGTGCCCTGCTTGCTGCCAAAGCGCTCCTTTCTCCTTGCCGGCCTCGCTTTGCTCTTCAAGGAGCTCGTCCCCCTCCTTCTGACAGGAAGGTGTTCGCAAGGAGCACGCACAGAGATGCCGCAGCACGAAAGGCCGCTCCCACCTAAACAAGACGGGTTCCCCCCACCTAAACAAGACGGGTTCCCCCCACCTAAACAAGACGGGTTCCCCCCACCTAAACAAAATGGGTTTCTCCTGCTCTTCTTCAGGGCTCGCGCTGCCCAATATTCGTTTCCTGGCTTCCGCGTACTCCGCCTCCCTTTGCGCCAAGGATTTCACGGGGAAGGCCGGTCTGCTGGCGGAGTTGGGATTGCTGAGCACGCCGTTGGTCGTCGGCCTCTTCAAGATGCGGATCTGCGGGGGAGGACCTGCAGGAAGGCTGTCGTCCTGAATCACGATCGGCACTTTAGGAGGAGATTTTGATTTTCTACTGTTTGAAAGAAAAACATTTGGTTGGTACTTGTTTTCTACGGCGAGCATGTTTTTCGCTCTGCGTGCGAATTCCTCCCAGTCAGATGTCATTCCCGTGATTAAGAGGCAGCCTGTAATAATTAAAGACCTCGTTATATTTGTAACCCTAAACTAGAACAGCAGGCAGGTTTGCAGATTAGCTCAGGAAGGGACAGAAAACCAGTCCCTGCCGCGTTCGACATCTTTAAACTCGACCGAAGGAAAGGGAAGCAGACACCGGGCAAAAGTTTTAGCGCTTCTATTTGAAGATACCGGTATGAGCACCTTGATTCCATTCCCTGCAAGGACTTTTAGGGCTCCTCTCGCCAGGATACCCAGCCTTCCGCTTCAACCCTGCCATTTCCCTTCTCAGAGCCAGCCTTGGCCCCCGTCTCACCATCTGAATTTTTTTTTTTTTATGGTCCCTTCTCTGTGCGGAAGTCCCAGAGAAGTAATACCATGATTCTTTAAGTGGCCTACTAAGAATCAAAAGGGGAAAAACAACAACGAAAGACTTGTCAGAAGTGATTAGAAATATTTCTGCTAGAAGACAATAACACACACACCCCCGCCCCAACCCAAAGGAAGCAGGAAAAGAAAGTCTTACTGACGCAAGACACCGCAAGCCAATTTAGGGCCATGAGTTGGGATTACCTGACTCACCCATTTCTTCCTTTGAATGTCTTTTTCTTAAATGGCTTCCCCATAGCCGTAGCTACATCCAGTCTGGAAGACCCGGCTCTGAAATAAAATCACTCTCAAGAAGCTTTCCGCTACCCTCCTATGGATCGAAAGGGCCATCTAGTGGCACGATTACAGAGATTCCCTATTTCTGAACTCAAACCCGGCGCGCTCTGCTCGGTTTGAAGCTGTTTCCCCACTGTTCCCGCTCCCCAGGCCTTCAGATGTCCAACGGCACCTCAGGAAAACAAGGGTTTGTTGGTTTTTTGTTTTTTTTTTTTAACCAAACCACACAGCATCGTTACCTTTCCTTCTGCGTGATCTTCAGCTTCTTTTCCAACCGTCTGTCTATTTCCTACAAAAGAAGGAGATAAAAATAAAAACCTGAAGGCTCCTCCTGGAGATTGGAGTTTGAGCCCGTCTGCGCGCACATTTAATTTCACTCTTCCGTACAGCGATACTATAAAGGGGGCAGAGAGAGCGTGTGCCTCCATCTGAGGATGACTTGCAAATCAAGAGGCAGAGAAAAGCAAAGCCACCGCGTATATTCTACCGTAGCCATTAATACACCTACAGCAGGCGGCGGATTTTGCGTATCGCGGTGAAAGGGCTGCGAGGAGCTCATCTCTCATTTTAAGGACTTCGGCTGGCAAGAAAGCTCTGTGAAGAGTAAAGAGCCACGGGGAACACGCAGCAAGGTATTCCCAGACCCGAGCAGAAACCGGTGCCAAACCTCTCGGGCAGAGAGGCGGCAGCAGCCGGCCGGGGCGATTCACATCAGTCCACACGCTTGATTTCAGCGGGGCAGCTCAGCCCCGGAGCCCGCAGCCATTCGGAGGACTAGCCAGCAGGTCCGCATTCCAAAAAAAAATGCTGCTTACTGCAATAACCCTCCTTCACAAAAAAGCCCCTTGCCCTGCCCAACATGCACCCAAGGACTTGCCGGAGCAGAGCAGAGCCTGATTGCGCTTCTCCTTCCCTGTGCAACATAGCTGCCGAGTCATCAATCGGCGGAAAGACGCGTTAATCACCCCTGAATGCCAACAGAGTGTGGCTTTAAGCATGTCAACTTCTGTCCAAGGCTTGCATCTACCTTAGCAAAGGTGTTTATGTTTTGCAGTCGGAGCAATTATGCAGAGAAACCTTGCTAAATAGAAAAATAAAGCCAGCTTTCAGCCCCGGTCTCTCTTCAGGTAACCTTCCCCAACCTCGCTGATACCTTCAGATTCTCACGACTGCTATTAAAAGAGCCTCCGAAACAGCGATGTGTTTTATTTAATCGTCAATGAAGAGGGGAAAAAAAAAACCCCAAAACTACCTGAGAGTGTCCTACTTTCACCAGCCGATAACTGGGAATACTGAAGGAAGTTCCAAGCTTATGGCAGGACGCAGCTGCTCTACTTTTCAGGCCGGTCCGCTTAACTACGCTGAAAGCTCGCTGTCAAAAATCACAGCAGGCGCAACCCGGCAAAGAAACTGGTTTGCACGGCAATTCCCTGATGCCCCAGTAAGCAAGGAATGAACGCAAGTCGCTACAAGATGCCAAACCACGCTGTTTGCTCTTGCTCACGCAGCTACACAGGCCAACGGCCCACGGTAGCCTCCATCTAGAAGGGAATAGTTATAAACCATTTTGGGAAGATAAACGGTGGGCGGGAGGTTGAATTTTCTACCAAACTCTGTACTGGGAGGTGACGGGTGATTTGTAAGGACAAAACCAGCTCAGTGGCACTGAGCTGAAGGCCAGGTCACAGCTAGAGCCTCCTGCTGAGGGCAAACACACCTGCAGTTTCCTTCAAGAGGACTGGGAGGAAAATCCCATCCCAACGCTGCTCAGGAGGACGGAGAAAACGTACATCAGCTGCCTGCAAAGACAGAAGATCGGCTGTCCGGGAACAGGCAGCAGGGAAACGGATATCCCGGCAAGGATGAAGACGCTGTAGAGCGGCTGGCGGCGAACAACAAAAGTCCAATTAAGGGGAAGGGGTTAGCTCATCTGCCCGCACCACGCCAGAAGAGGTTCTACGCGGCTATAGAACAGTCTTTAAAACACTTTTTCAAACTCAAATAGTTAACCGTGCCTCCCCAGGGCCTCCTGGAAGCGGGGGACTGGAAGGAGGCTTCCTTAAATATCCCTTATTAAATACTTCAGCGCGTGGGGGGGAGGGATGACAGGAAGATGGGGCGGAGGGGGAGGGGGGGGAGCACGCTCAAGAGCATCTCAACCCATTTCACTTAGTTTTCGGCGCCACGCAGCAACTACGAAGCCAGCTGCGACTCAGAACCACAGCGCTGAACCACTCAACTAGGGCAGACAAGCTCGACAGCCCACAGCGAGGACCGCGGGGGCACAAAAGTGTGACAAGCCACACGGTAGCCACGAGGAAGGCTCCATTCTGCTCTCTCCTCTCTCCTTCGTGGCAGAGGAGAGATCGCTTTGACAAAAGCCACATTTCTACATTCCTGGTGGCTTTGCAGGTCAGTCCTGGGGCTAAAGTCGCGGCCCATACATTGGGCTACGAGATCCTGTAATTGCAAAGCGCCGGTTTGACCTCAGCATCTGAAGAACACCGATTGATGCCACTGTCACACTGACTCTGAGCACTGCCGGACAGCTCTTCGCACCCTCACACACACCAGACTTCCTCCGACTGCATCCCCTGACGCCAGAACCTGCAGCTTCCCCTACCAGAAAAAAAAAAAAACAAAAACCCCAGCTCTTTAATTTGCTCAACGCATGCAAACTTACTCGAAGGAATCCTTCAGACTCTGCCACCGTGACACCCCTCCCCAAACAAGCCCCTTACAGCCTCAGTTTCACCCCTTCCTCCTCCTGTGCAGACCACTTCTTGCAAAATACTCGATATTTTTGCCCCTCATCCCTCCAGAATTGCCAGGAGCCACTAAGCAAACGCGCACGGTCCTGGTTCATAAGCCACCGCACGCAGGCTCGACAGTTGCTCCGCAGCTGGGGAGCTCCTCACCAAGGAGCAAAGCGACGGGCAGCTAAAATATCCTCTGAGTTATAACATCAACGGCTGTTAGAACCGCTGTGTGCTCTCCAAAACAAGAGGCTTCCTCCACACGTAGACATCCTGGCAGAATAATATAAAACAATAATTCCCACCAAATACACACGTATCGCTCTCACCCCATCCAAACAACTGTCAGTCTTACACGATCCTCATAATTCCCAGCGCTGCTGAGGGGATTCCAGCTGCCTCCAGACATCCACTGAACTCTTGGGTAGAAAAAGCCTTCCTCTGTGTTCAAAGTGGATGGCTAGCGTAAAAAAGCAGCTCCCCACCTCACACACACCTCTTCATGTTGCGTTTTCTTTTAAATGCAGGGATTGACCCCGTCTTTTCTCAGCAAAAGCCACAGCACTGCAAACTCTCGGTGTTCGATACTACTACGTTTGGAATTGTAGGTATGGAGGCGTTCGAAACGTGGAGAGCGTTGCCAATTCAAATGGGCAGCCCTTAACCACCCTGCGAAAACAACCCAAGACATGAGTGGCCTCGCACAGCTAGCGGTTCGTGACGGGGATCACGCCGCACGAATTTACAAGCTTGAGAAGCAGAAACGCCTTGACATGGCTTATTCTTAATTTAAAAAAAAAAAAGAAATCCCTGCCGCTGCTCTCCACAGATCTGTTCCTCTGCTGATGTCATTCCCTTTCCACTGCTATGTCACACTGTCACCAAGCTGTGTGGGTAACGAGATAAAATTAGGACCTGACTTACAGGACAAGTGCCAGAAGAGCTACAACAACCCAAAGGCATGAGCTCAGAGGAGAGGCAATTAGACTTGGCATTTGAGGACATCACGCCGCACGTACCCAGTAGCTGGGCAGGTCGCACTGTACAAAAAACAGTTATTAATCTCCTTAAGAGGCTCTCCTAGCTTTCATTTCCCAAACAAACTTATTTATACAGCCAAAAACTAAGCCTCATTTACACCCCCGTTCAAAACACCCTCCCCAAAGATTAGTAAAGAATCTCAACAAACTATTTTTAGTGCTATTATGTCTAGATACTAAAAAGGACCCAAACAAACAGCATGAAGGACACTGTTCTTTGACATTTAGGCCGCATTGGTAGATGAGGACGTAATGGAAACTGAACTGCAGCCCCATCACAGCCATCCTTCCTACCCTTTAACCCCGAGAAAAACAGCGATGCATAGAAGGATCAATAAAATACCTCTTGGAAACCAGTTAGGCACAGACACTAACACACAAACCTGCTGCTTAGATCCGACACTCCTACGGTCTGTCATCCCAAATAAGAACCCCACCAATATAGCGGATGGTTTTGCGATGTTATTGGCGACTTGGAGATAGATGGTGTCGTGTCCCCCCCCGACACCCCAGAAACGTGCCCTTCAGGAAGGGATGCCCCTATGGAGGACGGCTCCTACGGGTCGTGGTTTCACACAGGGTCGAGGCACCATCCCAAGCAAAGCCAGTTCTCCAGCAGAGAGAGGCCCGAGTCAGCCCTAGCTGTTGTCTAAAGAACTTTGTTGGAATAACTGTAGCGCGTCAGACACGTATAAAGAATTATCCTGCACATCGCTGCCAGCAAAGACTCTCTAAACAGACTAAATAACAGCAGCTCCAAGCTCTGTGCTGACACGGGGGAAAGGAACAACAAGATAACTGCTGGCTATTTTTTATTTCAAGTTTAGTGAGTAACCATGACTGCGTGTTTGAAGGCAGGCAGAGACTTGGGCTTCCTACAAATCCCTTACGCTAGGAGGATATTTCCCCCTCTACCTCCAAAATTAGGTTACTTTGCAGAAATCGAGAGGAGATACCTACCAGCCCTCCTGCCAGGGCACAGGAGAGTCACCGGTAAAGGAAGCTGTGCTCTCCCAGATACTTGATAACATTTCAAATATGCGGCTCTAGAAAACCATTAACCACATTCTTTGGTGTATTTACTGGAGATTACTCCCAAACACAACCTTCTGCCCCTGCTCACTCAAATAACGTGCAAGATCAAACCCAGAAAGAGGGATTTTAGCCTAGAGTTGCATCCTCCCACACCAACGCTAAAAACAAAGCCTCATCTGCTTACTGAAAGCACCATCAGATACTCTGGCATCTTCTAAAGGACAGGAGATAAACTTCAAGGCCTGGTTAACATTCTCTTCTTTAGAAACAAAAATAGGTTTTAACATCTGAGGTTACCAAAGCTGTTAATGCGTACCCAACAACTTACAGCTGCAGATATCTGACCCACCACTTCACTGAAAACACCATCAAGAAAGAGCAGAGGAAGATAATCCTAAACTATCCCCAATCTGACTCCTCATTAGCTACCTATTTCTTTCCTCCGAAGGTAAATTAAT